AAAAAACCCTCCAATATCAAACAAACTTTGGTGGCATCCCCAACAGCACCACCGATCGATTTTGATCATTTTTTGGTTGCGCCTTAATATATGAACTGACTTTCCACTGCACTGGAACCTCCTGCCGGAACCTGATTAGGAAGGGAACCCCGCAGGAATCCGGAACCTCACCTTCTTGGAACCACCCCGGAATCTTCCAGAACTTGCTTGACCTTGGGAACTGCACCGGAAACTTCCTGAACCTGACTGGGGCACTGCGCTGGAACTTTCCTGGGAGCTGCGCCGGAATGGAACCTTCTGCTCCGCAACCCTCCGGAACCTGACCGGGAGCTGCACCGCAGCTTATCTGTGCTGAAGACCCTAGTAGCGCACGCTGTTGATGAAAACTGAAGCAAACAACCCAACGACCCAAAATCCCAACAACCCAAGCAAGCAACCAACCAAAAACACACACACACACAACCCATACAAAACAACCAAATTGAACTAACCCGACAAAGAACAAAACAAACAAACCAGAGTGGCCAAACAAAGTAGTTACACAAACCAGCAAATTAAACAAACCAAAAATATAAACAAACATTTACTTTACTTCGAATGACCCCCGGGGTGACAAATTTTGTCACAGTTTCCGACATCTCATCTGGAAGTATACATATATATATATATATACATACATATATATATATATATATATGGCATGTGTTTTTTGACATTCTATTCTGGCATTCTATCTGACATTCTAATCTGGCATCTATTCTGACATTCTCTCTCACATGGGCATTGCCGGACCCCAACCGCGAGCGCCAGAGATCTGCAGGCCCTCGCGGTTGAAGACCCGCAGTGCCCACTGAGATCTGGGGCTCGTGGTTGAGGTCCGGCGCTGCCCACTTCTGGAGCTTGCAGTTCAGGTCTGGCAGTGCACACTGAGATCTGGAGCTCGCAGTTGAGGTCCGGCACTGCCCACTGAGATCTGGAGCTCGGATTGTCCACTGAGATCTGGAGCTCGCAGTTGAGGCCCAGCAGTGCCCACTGAGATCTGGAGCTCGCAGTTGAGTTCCGTCAGTGCCCGCTGAGATCTGGAAGGTCCGGCAGTGGAAGGACGGAAGGAGGAAGGACTGTAACACTTAAAAAACCTGGAGAGGTCGGGAAGATTCAAAACAAACAACAAAGTAAACAAACCAAAGCAAGCTAAACGGACCAAACAAACAAAACAACCTTACACAAAGCAAACACATGAAACGGAACTGCAAATCGAAAAAAAACAACCAAAGCAGACCAACCAAGCAAACTAAACTAAACTAACCGCGCAGGCCAAACAAACTAATTAAACCTACGAAGTTTCCGGTGCAACTACCAGTAGTACCGCGCACGGGGGTCGGAAGTTTCAAAAATGGGAGAGGTGAGTTGTTGTGATGCATTGATGGCAGAGCGAACCCACTGATGGACCGAAAGGTGGCTGAGGCTCTGAGTCTCTCTCTCTCTCTCTGTCTCTCTCTGTCTCTCTCTGTCTCTCTCTGTCTCTCTCTGTCTCTCTCTGTCTCTCTCTGTCTCTCTCTGTCTCTCTCTGTCTCTCTCTGTCTCTCTCTGTGTCTCTCTCTGTGTCTCTCTCTGTGTCTCTCTCTGTGTCTCTCTCTGTGTCTCTCTCTGTGTCTCTCTCTGTGTCTCTCTCTCTCTCTCTCTCTCTATCCCGCTACCTATCTATCTATCGATCGATCTATCTAATCTTTTCTAATCTAATCTTTTATCTTTCTTTCGATCTATCTATCGATCTATCTATCTATCTACCTATCTATCTATCCATCTACCTATCTATCTAACTATCTATCTATCCAATCTATCTAATCTATCTAATCTACCTAATCTATCTAATCAATCTAACCTATCCTATCTATCTAATCTAATCTAATCTAATCTATCTATCTATCTAATCTATCTAATCTATCTAATCTATCTAATCTATCTAGTCTATCTAGTCTATCTAGTCTATCTAATCTATCTAATCTATCTAATCTATCTCATCTATCTAATCTATCTAATCTATCTAATCTATCTAATCTAATTTAAATAATCTAATCTATGTAATCTACCTAATCTATCTAATCTATCTTTTTATCTATCTATCTACCTATCTCCCTATCTACCTATCTACCCATCTAGCTATCTAGCTATCTAGCTATCTAGCTATCTAGCTATCTAGCTATCTAGCTATCTAGCTATCTAGCTATCTAGCTATCTAGCTATCTAGCTATCTAGCTATCTAGCTATCTATCTATCTATCTATCTATCTATCTACTGTCTATCTGTCTATCTGTCTATCTGTCTATCTGTCTATCTGTCTATCTATCCGTCTATCCATCTATCCATCTATCCATCTATCCACCTATCTATCTATCTATCTATCTTATCTAATCTAATCTATCCGCATCTGCCCACAAGTCGGAAGTTTGGCTTCTAAACTTACTTCGAACAGTAGAAAATCTTACACAGAAGAACAGTAGAAAATCTTACACTGCAGTGACAGGTCCTTTTCAGTCTGGGCGAATTGAGCCAGGCAGTCATGTTGGTTCCCACATGTTAAAGTCTTGTTCAAAAGTTGTTGGGTTGAACTTAAGTTGACAGCTTGCAACGCCGCTTGGTGATCCACATCACCCGCGCCCAAAGTGATGGTGAGATCTGCATCTAAAAGTGGTCGACCACGTCCTTCCACATCATCTATCAAAGTTTTCACTGTGTTGCCAAAAGTGCTGATGTAAGTCTTAAAGTTCCAGCTCCATTCTTCCTATATGCTTGAGCTTCCATCATACTTGTCAGGAAGTCGCAACTTAAGTTTTCCAGCAAAGTCAGAGCTCTCTCCTGTTGTCATCTCAAAGTATTGACGTCAAAGTGCGAATGCTTTCTCGATCTTCGTCATACCATGCTTGCAAGGTGTTACAAAGCTCTGCCCGACAGCTGGCAAAAGATGTAGGATGTTCCACGCAAGAAAATTTGAATACCAATGTCAATGTCATGCATGCTGCAAGGTTTTTGAGGACAGAGAAAGCGACTCCTTTGCTTATCCTTCGAGAAGCGTTTGTCTACATATTGTTCAAGGCTATCGCAATGTTGGGCAAGCTGAAGTGTTTGCCTGTGTGTGTGTGATTGTGTGTGTGTGTGTTTGCTTGCGTGCTAGTTTGTTTGGTTTGTTTGGTTTGTTTGGTTTGTGTGGTCTGTCTAGTTTGCTTGGTTTGTTCAGTTTTGTTTAGTTTTGTGGTTTGCTCACTGTAGTTTGTATTGTTTGTTTTGTGCGGTTGGTTGTTTAGGTTCTTGTGCGAGACTTGATAGGCGCTTTTCCTCCGTTCTCCGTGCATGAGACTTTTGCCAAATACTTGGCTCAAGATGCCTGGTGTAAAAGAGGAACTTTGAGTCTGGGCTTGGAGTCAGGTTGTTAGTACTTTGGTACTGTGGGAATTTCGCGTGGTAGCTGGAGCTCTTGATTTAAGGCGGCTTTGGAGATCTGGCACGGCATGGCATGACGTGGCAAGCGCATGGCAAACGGGCGCGCCTCCAATGAGAGCCATGTCACCCGGCGGCTCTCTCCCGGCGTCTTTTGATCCAAGCCCTCCAAGCACATTGGACCTGCCACTTGCCGGCTTGCTGAGAAGTTTACACCTTCGACTTGACAAGGTGACTGATGAACATGTCCTGTGCATAGTCGTGTCTTTCGTGAGCAAAGCTCCAAGTTTGCATTCTATCTCAAAAGCTCGAAGCGCATGACACGCCATTCTTCGCACCCAAACAAAATGATACCGGCCACTTTGAAGTACCACACATTATCTTGCCATTTTCATCATCTTTATCGCTTGTAAAGTCATCTGTTTATTCCCCAGATAGCGAAGATACATCGAAGATACTGGAGTCCTTACTTAAGGTAAAGGATGGGTTGGATATGTCATTTTGGAGCGAAGATGTTGCTGCCGCGGCAGGGTGCCGCTGCAGGGTGCTGCTATTAGAGCGGTGTGTGCTGTGGAACCGGCCAGCTTGAAGGTGCCGCTGTTAGAGGGGCGTGTGCGCTTTGCAGCTGGCTTGCCGCTGCCGCTGCTTGCGCGTGCGCTTTGGAGCTGGCCTGCCGCTGCGGGGTGCGCTTTGGAGCTGGCCTGCTGGTGCTGCTGCAGGGTGTCGCTGCAGTGTGCTGCTTCAGGCCTGCAGGTGGTGCTGCTTGTGCGTGCAGGGTACTACTGTCAAAGGGCTGTCTGCATCTTAGGAACTTGGGTGCTGCTACAGGGTACGGCGGTCAGAGTGCAGTGCGAGGCTGCAAGATGTCTATGGCAGTGTAGGCATTGGACCCTGATGGAGATTACGTTCATGCCGTAGCAAGAGGCGAGCGCTTGGTTGCCATCAAAAAATATCTTTTGCTATCTGGGGCCTATGCCGGCATAATTATATTGTATATATATATATCTCTATCTCTATCTCTCTCTCTCTTTCTCTCTCTCTCTCTCTCTACATCTTGAGTACCTAATGCCGCTGCGTTTGGGCATTTATTTCTCATCGCGGCAAAGCGGCGCCTGTGTCTACAGGAAGGTCCATCCAAGCATCAAAAAGAAGAAAACAATTTCCATGCAAAAATCACACACTGGTCACATGATACATCATGTCCAACACCAGTGCGGCCTTGTCTTGCAGCCTGAAGAAATTCAGGGTAATGCTTGGATTTAGTTCCTTTCCCGTTTTCCATGCTTCACATGAAGAGCTGAAAATTCCAACTCATGCGGTGCGGAAGCCTCAGCATGTTGTATCAGCATAGTTTTTGTGCACCAGAGCACCGTGGAGTTGGTGCTGGAAAATCTTGAGAATAGCCAAAAGGAAACCACAAAAAAACAATAAAAGCTGAGGCTTACTGCATCCTAAAAGAAGCCTCCGAATTGATCGCAAGCTTTTTTCTCATGGAAAAACATTGACCGAAAGCTCGCAGGTAGCCACGGTTTGAAAACCCTAAATATGATATATATAATTGTGACGCATGGGCAACTGAAGCAAAGGATGCCCTTAAGGTGATCCAAAATTTTTATAATGATTTAGATTCGGATTCCAAGGTGGCTTAGACGGTATAGTGACTGTGGTCTTTGGTCCGAACTGAGCTCTGCAACACGCCAAGCCCTCAGTCTTCCTCCATGACAAGCTCGTGCAGTTGCACCCTGCCCAGCCCATACTAAAGAAAAATATGGAGAATGTCAAACCGACTGCCGGATCAAAAGGGTGAAGCTGATGGTTCCGAATCCACTCGGCACAAGGCTGAAAATTACAAAGAACAACAAAGAACCAAGCAAAAGAATTAAAGAATTCAACCATGGAATGCCAGGGGATTCGAGCTTGTAAGACTCCCCTCACGTCTAAGCAAGATCCAGGAGCTTTCTTTTCCTGTGGATACCCTACGTCTGCGCCAATTACAATCCTTGATCCTTATTCTGGAGAACTCAAGAGCCGCTTTTCCCTGTCAGTGTGAAAAGGTCTGGCAGGTGGTAAATGGGAAGAGCAAGCGGAATAGAGGGAAAACCATATGACTACCGCAAGCAAGCATGGAAACAGGTTTCCGGCACCGTTTGAACAAATATAAAAAGACAATGGGAAAAAGCAAACAGGATTTCGGATGAAACACCAATATAGCCGCCAAGCTTCTCTGCTTGGCCGTAGATAAACTTCACCCTCCTCACCACCTCTGCCTTGCAACAGCAACTGATTCCAACGCAATTGCCGGTTTCCAAATTCAACTTTGGGAAATTGCAAAAAATCAGAGGCAATCTGCTGGGACCCCTCCGCAGCAAACGTTTGTTCACCACGCCGAAAATAAAAAACATTGGTTCCTGATTGGGATGCAACACGGTCGTTTTCTCAGTGAATATCTATAATCATGTGACTCGCCAAAATGACATTGAGAAACATGCTGATGCAGGTGTATGAAGAAAGGTGCATCTGACATCGGATGCGATGATATTTCGATGCAATCGCCAATGTCTATGCAAATGCAATGTATGGCGCGCATGTTTGCATAGCATGAATTGAACGCGTGGATTCATGAATGCTTTTCAGCACCGAGCCAAGTGTCTCCACCTCTCTGGATTTGCGCCCCTCTATCATGTCCATCATGTGACTCTGTAAGTCTAAGTTCCATGGTTACTTTTCTGCTATATGCAAATATTTTCACATATCTGCTTTATGTATCGTTATGTGCAACAGCACTTCTCTCTCACAGCAGCTAGGGTTTTCTGCCGGTCTTCTTGGGACTGCATGATGCAGCATGACATGGTTTTTGATGCACATATGTGGGTATGTAAGAGGATAGTGGACGTAGCGTTTTCAATGTCTTAGTGGAATGAATTATACATGCAACCTATTTTATAATCGAATTCGACTCCCACAACCAATATTCATTTCAGCAATATCTCCACCATCCGCTACACTTCTGTAACATGAAACAGCTAGTCATTGGCCAACCAGGATTCATACTGGGTTGCACTAGTCCCATTACTGTTGGATCCTACGCTAGTCAAAGATAGTCAAAGCATGTACCCTGATGTCTTGTTTTTTCAGTAGGAGCTGACACCAATGCATGAGGATAAGCCAGCTCCCTCAAAGGACATTTCAATACTACAAACCATTTAATCTGCGACTGGTTTGTCTCAGCTCAACAGTTCGGGTCCTTTAAACTTGCATTCTTAGCTGGAGGACCGCCAATGCCCAGCACCTTAGTGGTGACAACGCGCAAGAAGGAAAGAGATAGATATATAGAGTCATAGAGAGATATAGACTGAGCGCGCGAGAGAGAGAGAGAGAGAGAGAGAGGCAGCTAAAACCAAAATGAAGCATGCTAGCACTTGCTAGCAAATTTGACAGCGGCAAGTCAATACGACCCACCTCGCTCCTGCATCTCTTTCCTTCAAAAAGGAATGGCTGCATGATTCTTCCGAGTGGCTATTGTCGGTCGTGGATTGACACCCTCACCGTCATCCAACCTCAAACTGCTACTGTGAAAAGCAAGGACAAGCCTCTAAACTATCTAAACTCTAGAGTCGAAAGACACATGAGTATCGACAGTATCGACATGATGATTCACACAGAATGTCGTACAGCCCCGGTCTTCTGAGACCCTCCTTTCTACGATATGGGAAATGTGAGGGTGGTCTGCGCGCGCCGGCCCATCGACTCTGGAGAGCTGGCCGGGATAAGTCTGACAAAATGCTGGGCGCAAGCACCACGCAGAATGGTACATAATCAGTAAAAGTAAACAAGCAAAAGAACAAAAAATAAAGGACCGGATAACCCCACAAGTCAACTTCTCCCTAAAATGAGCTTCAATGGTTTTAGCGGGGACAGGGAAGCAAAGAAAGACAAATGAGATGGTGAAAGATCGAGAAGGTAAAATGGTAGGTATGTATGTATGTATGTATGTATGTATGTATGTATGTATGTATGTATGTAGGTCGGTAGGTAGGTAGGTAGGTATGTATGTATGTATGTAAGTTGTTTGTGAGTAGGTTGTTTGTGAGTAAGTTGCTCCGCTTTCTACGAGTTCCACCAGGCTGTGTTATCAAAGCGATGGTGTGCTCAGTTGACTTCTGCTGACCAAAGTAATGTTCTGCACTCTTTCGGGCGCAGCCGCAAATGTTTGCAGATTTGAAGTGACTCCATGTTTGCAGATTTGTTTTGCTTGTTTTGGAAGTTTTCAGATTTTAGAGTTTGTTCAGTGTTGGGTTTTGTTTATGTCTGTTTGCTTCTACGTTTTTGCAATTAAAGCTTCCACTAGATGAGCCTTAGTGTGTGTGTGTGTGTGTACGCGCATTACTTCACCATCGACAAGCAACACCTGGCAGCAAATGACCAAACTTAAACATGCCAAAATCAAACATGCCGAAGCACGTAGAAGGCCGACAGAAGAAAATACTTAAACATGCCAAAATCAAACATGCCGACGCACGCGGAAAGACGAAACATGCCGGAAGGACCGCCTCTTTGCATGCAAATGACACATTTCACTTGACTGACTCGTTGTAGTTGTGGTTGAGTCGTATGCATGCTAGAGATGTTGTCCGCAAAAACTTCACTGACGCCTTGTGGAATTGTGCAACACGAGATGATGCTAAGAAGAAACATGCCGGAAGGACCGCCTCGAATGCATGCAAATGACCAATTTCACTTGACTGACTCGTTGTAGTTGTGGTTGAGTCGTATGCATGCTAGAGATGTTGTCCGCAATAACTTCACTGACGACTTGTGGAATTGTGCAACAAGAGATGATCCTATGACCGCATCTTTACCTTGCTGACTAGTTGTAGTTGTGTTGTAGTGGTATGCGTGCTAGAGCCGTTGTCTGCAACTTCTAGTTGGGCCAAAGCGACCAAAACAGAACGACAAGAACAACATGATGAAAGTCTGCATGCAAGAAACAGAATCTGTCATGTCTGCGCTGCACAGCGTTGCTGAAGCGCAGTTGAGCCCTGCCTCTCGACCACGAGCAAGGACCGCATCTTTGCATGCAAATGACTAATTTCACTTGCCCAGTGCCATCAGTGCCACGCATGCCACGCAAAACGACGGTGGATGTGAGTTTGTGCCGCGCCTGCCACGCAAACCGACAGTAGATGTGAGTTTGTGCCACGCCTGCCACGCAAAGTGCCGCGGCGTCACGGGCGCCCAAGCCAGTCCAAGCGCGCCACCCAGTGCCATCTGTCCCACGCCTGCCACGCAAAACGACGGTGGATGTCAGGTTGTGCCACGCCTGCCACGCAAACCGACCCAAGCCAGTCCAAGCGCGCCACCCAGTGCCATGAGTGCCACGCCTGCCACGCAAAACGAAGGTAGATGTGAGTTTGTGCCACGCCTGCCACGCAAACCGACAGTAGATGTGAGTTTGTGCCACGCCTGCCACGCAAAGTGTCGCGGCGTCACAGGCGCCCAAGCCAGTCCAAGCGCGCCACCCAGTGCCATGAGTGCCACGCCTGCCACGTGAAACGAAGGTAGATGTGAGTTTGTGCCACGCCTGCCACGTGAAACGAAGGGGGGTGTCAGGTTGTGCCACGCCTGCCACGCAAAGTGCCGCGGCGTCACAGGCGCCCAAGCCAGTCCAAGCGCGCCACCCAGTGCCATCTGTCCCACGCCTGCCACGCAAAACGACGGTGGATGTGAGTTTGTGCCACGCCTGCCACGTGAAACGAAGGTGGGTGTGAGTTTGTGCCACGCCTGCCACGCAAAGTGCCGCGGCGTGTCCAAGCGCGCCACCCAGTGCCATGAGTGCCACACCTGCCACGCAAAACGACGGTGGATGTGACAAAACGACGGTGGATGTGAGTTTGTGCCACGCCTGCCACGCAAAACGACAGTAGGTGTGAGTTTGTGCCACGCCTGCCACGCAAAGCGCCGCGGCGTCACAGGCGCCCAAGCCAGTCCAAGCGCGCCACCCAGTGCCATGAGTGCCACGCCTGCCACGCAAAACGACGGTGGATGTCAGGTTGTGCCACGCCTGCCACGTGAAACGAAGGTGGATGTCAGATTGTGCCACACCTGCCACGCAAAGTGGCGCGGCGCCCCGGCGCCAAATCCCGGCCCAAGGGCGCCACCCAGTACCATCAGTGGCACGCCTGCCACGCGAAACGAAGGTAGATGTGAGTTTGTGCCACGCCTGCCACGTGAAACGAAGGTGGATGTCAGGTTGTGCCACGCCTGCCACGCAAAGTGCCGCGGCGTCACAGGCGCCAAATCCCGGCCCAAGCGCGCCACCCAGTACCATAAGTGCCACGGCTGCCACGCAAAACGACGGTAGATGTGAGTTTGTGCCACGCTTGCCACGTGAAACGAAGGTGGATGTCAGGTTGTGCCACGCCTGCCACGCAAAGTGCCGCGGCGTCACAGGCGCCAAATCCCCGCCCAAGCGCGCCACGTAGTACCATAAGTGCCACGCCTGCCACGCAAAACGACGGTGGATGTGAGTTTGTGCCACGCCTGCCACGTGAAACGAAGGTGGGTGTGAGTTTGTGCCACGCCTGCCACGCAAAGTGCCGCGGCGTCACAGGCGCCCAAGCCAGTCCAAGCGCGCCACCCAGTGCCATGAGTGCCACGCCTGCCACGTGAAACGAAGGTGGATGTCAGGTTGTGCCACGCCTGCCACGCAAAGTGCAAGTAGGTGTGAGTTTGTGCCACGCCTGCCACGCAAAGCGCCGCGGCGTCACAGGCGCCCAAGCCAGTCCAAGCGCGCCACCCAGTGCCATGAGTGCCACGCCTTCCACGTGAAACGAAGGTGGATGTCAGGTTGTGCCACGCCTGGTGGATGTCAGGTTGTGCCACGCCTGCCACGCAAAGTGCAAAGTTGTTGTTGTGTGTGTGTGTGCCTGTGAGAGAGTGTGTGTGTGTGCCTGTGAGAATGTGTGTGTGTGTGTTTTTTTTTTCAACGCACCTTTTCTGGTTAAAAGTCTGCGCGCGCTGCATCAATCTTTCTTGATGGCCCTCTGGTGGAGGGGCTTTTGGAGAAACGCCAGCATGCATCGCACAAAAACTGGTGGGGAGAACTAAGTGCCAATGAATTGCTCCTGGCCTGGCAGCGCCTCTGTTGGGCGGCAGTGGCTTAGTGTAACCTGTTGTGAGACTAGGCTATTGGATGGGAAAGCAACAGCGTTTTTTTTTTTATACTGGCCTTCGTGAAACAGTGGGCTATGCCTCTTGGACCAGTGTTCCTAGTTTTTTTTAAATACACTGGCCTTCTTGAAACAGTGGGCTTCGCCTCTTGGACCAGTGTTCGGCTGGGGGTACACTCTGGGTTGCAGAGGGCATGCAAAACATTGGGGGATAAGCCTGCTGGGCGCAGGGTGCATGGGGGTGAGCCACATCAGGGGAGCAGTTGTCATAGACCTGGCTTTGGACTGCAGTTGCATGGTCATGGCAAAATGCCAGAATTGGCCAAAGGTCATTGGCAAAATGCCATCGGGGTGTGAAACTAATGGGAGTAGTGGATATTATTGTTTTTTTTTTTAATACTGGCCTTCTTGAAACGTTGGGCGATGCCTCTTGGACCAGTTTTTTTTTTTAAATCTCATGGGGTACACTCTGGGCTACAGAGGGCTTGCAAAGCTCGGGGATAGGATAAGCCTGCTGGGCGCAGGGTGCATGGACGCTCATTCAGAGCTGGGATGGCTATCATGGATGGGTCAGGTCTGCAGGATGCTTTCGTCAGTGCCTTCGACAAAATGGCTGAGCAGTTCATTGGCTGCTACCACCGATCGTGCAGTGGCTATCGTACCCAATGTTGGCCCAGGCGCAGAGTGGGGAAGCTGGTGCAGATCAAGTTGGTCCCAGTCCCCAAGCCAAAAACAGGAGATATTACGCAGGAACCAGGAGGGCTCTTTCCAGATCGGTTGGGCCTGCATCCAGTCTTCTGTTAGGAGGAACATGTATGGCTCGGCAGCTGTGGAGTTCATCTGTACTCTCAGCATGGTTCTGCAATGGCCCGAGGCATCATGACCTAAGTGCGCAATGGCTGCAATGACCTTGTATGTACGCCAATGCACTGCTAAGCCTTCCCCATCATAGAAGGGCAGATCAATGCCCCAATGAAAGTTGACTGGGATATCGCACTTGGCAATGTGGCCTGCACCTGTGCGGATGTGGCGGTCAATCTGTACGCAAACCAATGGCGTCTGATTGGTTAAGGCTGTCACCATGCCATCTTGATTGGACCAGTCGCGAAGCATTTGACACAGCGTCAGGGAGTCATCCTGCAGCATGGCTGGATCAAATTTCAACACCAGTGGGGTGAATGCATCGCTTTCATCCATCACTTCAGTGAGGAGACCAATCTGCACTCTCTTTTCCCAGCCCAAGTTGATGCCTGTAAATCTGAGTCCCCGCATCAGGTGAGCAAGGAATTCCACCGGGTCACCCTGATTGCCCAAATGATGCCATTGGTCAAAAATGGGTTGCAGAAAACCAACTTTGGAAAGTTCAACAGGATCTTGATTATGAGCCATCAGCAATTGGGCAATGCGGGTGGCGTCAGGACCCCACTGAGCAATGGTAAACGATGAAATGCTCAGAAACGACCACAGTGTTGTCAGAAAGGCCGCATTGACATAGCACCAGTTGGAGTCGTTGGCCAACTTGATGTCAGCAAGACCCTGCAACAGGGCAGTGCGCCCATAGATATCAGCATCAGTAGCTGGCATCATTTCTGTTTCGATACGGTCTTGTGGTGATGTTTGCCTCGGCCCTTGCCTGGTTGTTTCCCCTGTCCTTTCCCCAGAAGTGCCTGGAGGTGTTGGCCCTGCTTGCTCTGGTAGAGTGCATGAGGCTTCATGGACAGCCCTAACAGGGCCCATACCGTGCATCCTTGCAGTGTCGTCAGCAGGACTTGAAGGTCGTCCGACCTCATGGATATTTGCCACATCCAGAGCACCACAGCTTCGGTTGACATCGGCCGTAAGCTGTGAAATCTCACTGTGGCACATGGATCTTTCAGGATGTCCATGAGTTGCTCCGTGTACTTCACCATCCTGGTCAGGGAGATGGGCGTCTGACTGGTCGTCTGAAGGCCCTGGGCCTGAGTGCTCCATCGTTGGAACAGAAAGTTCCCCTCGGGAGTCAAAACTCCCTGGTCCAAGGCCACCTTCTTCAGAGGATCCTCGTTGCTGCATTTGGCTAATCTGGTGACTCTCTGATTCAGCGTCGTGGCCATGTGTTGGGTCAGGTAGCATCTGAGCGGGGTGAAGTTCTGGTCCGTGTTCTCCTGCTTCACCGTCAATTGTTGTTTCCACTCGGCTGCCTTCAGGACCAACGATGGGAGCAATGCCTGGGGCTCGGTTTGCATGAAGCAAATCCATGAGTCTTGACGCTTGAGCGCCTGTTGCTCCGCATCCACTCTTAACAAGAGTTGACCCATCACCTTCAGAAGGTGCATCATGTCTCCTTCGGGTTCTGCGGGCTGCGCCCCATTCGGTTTGTGTTTCTTGTTCTCCCTGGCGGCGTCTGGTCGAGCGTATCTTTCCTGCGCCAACAAAGGCCCCATCTGCTTGAAGGTCTCCAACATCTCGGCGTCCTCGGCCGTGAGTTGCGGTGAGAGCTCCATGGTCTTGAAGGAGCAGTGCGATTTGCAGGACCACAGGGCACTGATGCTGAAGATGTATCTGAGCCAAGACTGACCGATCAGCCATTTCCTGTGCATCTTCATGTCCATGCAAAGGATAATTGTAGATCTGCGTGCAAACATCGCATTTATGATCAGTCAGATTTTCCTTGCAAATGGCCTGCAGCAACTGTGGCATCAGCATCCGGTGATCTGTCAAGTCTAAGGGATGGACTCGATGCAAGTGACCGGTGACTTCAGCAGGATGAAGATGTAGTCCACAGAGCAAGCATCGCGTGCGTAAGAACTGAACCATCATGGGATCAGTCCACAGTTTGTCAAAATGCCTCATGTGCAGAACTTCACAGATTTGTTCACTGATTGGGTCTTGAGTCACAGCGGTCATGTAAAGGCGCAGTTGAGCTCTCTCAAACGTCCAAGGCAGGAACATTGGCTGAGTCAGCTTCTGAACCATCATGCCAAGCTGCCTGAATGCAACGCATATGTGTTGAAGTCCGCTGGCATGTGTCATTGGGTTGCATAAGCAGCCGAGCCTGCGTCCTGCTTCCACCAATAGTTGAACATGTGATTGTGAATACCCCCATAGGACACTGTGAACAGTTTGGAGGTGCAAAGACAAATCTCCCGTTCTCTGAAAGGATGTTTGGCAGAATTGGCATCGCAGTGTCAGGCGTAAACGCATCTGTGGTGCCTCTCGCAGTTTGGCGATGTCTCCGGATTGGAGAAGCTCCTGCCATTCAGCATTGATCGGATTCTCAGTAGGCAATCTAGCCGGGTTGAAGTTCTGGCATTGTCCCAACGTGATATGTTGCCTAAGTGATGATTTCTCTGCAAAGATGGCAAGGCAGTGTGAGCAAACTGGCTCTGTACCTGCTAGCATGTCTCGGAGAGGGTCCCAATCAAGTGGTTCCAATCTGTGCTGCTGATGTAAATGTCGATGCAAGAGTTGAACGTCCTGAAACTGCTCGTTGCAAACATCGCAGCGAAGAACATTGCTACCTGGGCATTGGTATGACAGTCCAGTGGGATCTGTGTTGACCAAAAGCATGGCTGCTTGAACCATTACTGGACATTGATGCACCCTGCGGAACGTTTTGTTGCAAAACCGGCATGGGGAATTTGATGCCTGAGCTCGTCCTAGCTGGCTGGCCTTGGACATCACATGTGGCAGCAGTGTCGGATGTTGTGTCCGCATATGCAGGTTCAAATCCTGCGGTCTGTTGCAAAATAATCCACAAAGCACACAGTGGTGGGTCCAATCAGTAGTGGCTGCTGGCATCTGTTGCAGTGTATCCCAGTTTCGTTCCTGTACGCAAATCAGTGCTGTAGGACCATATGGCTTTGTCATCAGCAGTGTGAGATCTGCAGGAGTAAGTTTCGGATACTCCTGGGCAGTGTGCATCGGGATGGGCAGCTTCTGGGCAAAAGGCCGCGTTTGTTCAAGAACCTGACAGCAATTGCGCTCAAGGTGGATCTGAAAGTTGCGCCATGAGGTGAAAGCTTCAAGACAGTGTGAACATTGCGGGAGACCGCCGACTGCATGTGATGCAACTGTTGTGAAGTGCGTGCGCAGCTGTGTATGGCCATGGACATTTGTCAAATGTCGTCGTAAGTTTGCCAGAGAGTTGCATGCAAAATCACAAAATGGACACCTGAAGGGTTTGAGCAGCGCCTCGTCGCCCGGCAGGGTCAACAGTGCCTGAAGTTGTTCATGCCACGTGCTCTGAACCATCTGTAACAGCGGCCCTAGATGAGTCCAGTCGACTGTCCAAAGAATTTCATTGCAGGCTAAGTGATTGAGTCTGTGACTTAATCGATCACGAAGCTGCTGCCCGGCATGCAGAATCGAGTGCAGGGGATGTTCAAGCTGATAAAGATGAAGGATTTCAGCATGTGTGTGATGCGTTTTGTAGGCATGGTCGCCTAAGAGCTGCCGATACATCATAAAAATGCTGTGTTGTATCTGCTGCAAATCAGGCTGTGTGAATCCCGTGGAAAATATGCCGTACACCAGTGTGGTAAAGACACAGGAGTGCCATATCTGGAGCCTGGTTTTCCTGGGTATCTGCTTGGCACAAATCCATCTGCGTAACCTTGCAAAAGTGTGTCTTGCTGCTTTCAGGCGGGCCCGAACTGTGGAGCGCTCAAATGAATGATAACCAACCATGATACCCAAATATTTGGCTTGGGTCTGCACAGGCAACCTGGATTGACCATTGGCACGAGGAATCATGATATGTGGTCCATGGGAATCAACCTTGATGTATTTCTTGTAGATGTCCCGACAGTTGGTCCCACTAATTCTGATAATCGCATGAGACTTTTCCAGGGATAACTGGATACCAAGTTGGTCAAGAGCGTCCAGTAGCAGTCCAATTCTACTCAGGGCCAATTGAAGTTGCTGCTCACTACGAAACTCCTGACAACAATGGAGGTCGTCAGCAAAAGCTGTGAGGCATTTTTTGACCCACTGTTCATTGACAGTATCACGCAGGTGATGAAACAAGTGCAATGTGTGGCTTGACCACAATATTGGAGCTGCACGGCATCCCTGTCTGACTCCACGTCCTGTCGCAACTCGTTGAGTGTTGTGGCCGTCTGGCACAATGTAATTGGTGGCGGTATGCCATTCACTCAGCAGTGTCACCAAAACCTGGTCGATGGGGAGGCCATTGATGAAATGAAACAAAGTTGGTCTTGGGACTAAATCGAAAGCTTTGTTAGCATCCAACAGCACTTGCAATCCGCCACAGACCTGATAGCATTGCTCTTGCCTGGCACGCTCGTGAACGCTACGTCTTTGCGCAGCCGTCATCTGTCGGATCCGGACGCAGTGGGTGGCAACACGTCGTATGGCATCAAACGTCGATCTCTGTCGCATGAACGCCAGCTGTGGCCATGGGCTGAGCAAAGGTTGAACTGCATCTGCAAATTTGGTGGTGAGCAAACCTAGGATGCATTTACCTACAGGTTCCAGCAAGGCCAAGGGCCGAAGGTGACTTAATCGATCTGGAGGTTTGGCAGGTTTGTTGATAAACCTGAGGTGGGCATCCTTCCACTGCTGAGGAATGAATACCGGGTATTGCATCCACCAGGTTTGAAGCTTGGCATAAAAAAACTCAGCAACCTGTTTGGCATGTGTCTTCCAGCAGATCCCCGGCAAGCAACTGCGTGCAACGGCTTTGGTGATGGGTATGTTGGCTATTTCAACTTCTAATTCAGCCAAGTCAAAAGGAATGCCAACCGGCGCTGGCTGTTGCAATTGGATGGGATCTGCGGAGTGCCAGATGTCCTCAACGTAGGCTTTGGTCATGGCCATTACCTGATCAGCATTGGCAGGTGTGCCATCTGAAAGTCTTAGTCTGATGCGTTTCAACGGCTGCTTGGGTGTGTACTTTCTGATGGTTTGGTATACCGCAAAACTGTCATGACAGCGTGACGCATGAGCTACTTCTTGGAGAAGGTCATGCAGTTTCTGTCTCTTCAGCAGTCGTGTGCGGCGCTGTTGGAGTCGTTTCATGGTTTTGTACCTGCTGTAGTGGAACCACACCTGGAACAGGGAGCTGACATCTGCCTGCATGCACTGGAGGATACCCGCTCGATGGTGCCACAGCTGCTGAATGGCATGTCTTTGGTCCTGATTGGGTGCACTAAGTGGTTGCGGGATCTGTGCCTCAGGTGGAAAAGCATGGTGAAACACAGGCATCATTTGATTGTGCATGTCATCTATGAGAGTGCAATCATCATGGGGTGTGGTGATGAATTCAGAAAAACGCTGTGTGAAACTAGAGTGAAACTGTTGCCAACTTTCATCTTGAATTTGCCAGGCCCGTCTGCATCTTAGCCGCTGCTGATATGTGCATGCAGCCTCATGAGCTTGGCAGGTAAATGCATAAGGGATTTTTCGAATGGAGCAAATCATCGGCGTGTGTTTGGCTCCAGTCAAAGGCAAAAAAGGAGCTGCAGTGATGAACTTAACATCTTTGGCAGGGGCATCGGTGTCAGCAATGCGCATCATCATGTGGTCAATGGTGGAGGCAGTATAGCAATGTTCAAAAGTCGGGGGATTCTTGGCATTCCAACTGTTCAGGATGGTTAACTGAAATTTCTGAAGGAACTCCATGAGAACACTGCTGTCAGAATGGGGTGTGCTGGTGCCAATGACGCCATGCCATGTGTACATGTTCGTGCCCACATATGGTCCCTCAGGGATTGCACTGCAATTAAAATCACCCAGGATCAGGACACTGTTGCGATTGGGCAGTTTGGATGCATGGTGCTCCAGGGCCTGCCAAAAATGGCTGCGTTGAGTCATCCTATGATGTCCATGGGTGTGGGCATATTGGTAACAGCCAAGGATGTCCATGGATCGCTTCTGGAAATGCAGTCTGAGATGGCCAATCCTACCCTGCATCGGTGCAGTGAATCCAATCTGATGTGGTTGGCAGAGAGACTTTCGGATCAAAAAGAGCAGTCCGTCTGCTCTGTCATTGTCAGATCCGGTATGGATATGGTACCACCATCGATCAGCCCACTCAGCCTCAAATGACCAACGTGTTTCACTTAGCAACAATATGTCCAAGCCCGTGTGGTGTGCCCAAATTTTGATCTCATGCAAACGTTCTTGCGCTAATCCACCCACGTTCACATGGCCTATATGCATGCGATGCTTTGGCGGTCTTGGGTGGCAAGATGAAATGGGCTTCATTGGCTTGATTTGAGGCTTGTCAGTGGTGGTGATGGAGCCAGGTGTTAATTGGTCCAAGGTCATGCATTGTCCGCGATACCAGGCACTTCCTGTCTGTTGTGCCCTTTTGATCGCCCTTTTAAAGCTCCTTTTCTGCACAGTGCTGAAAGGCTTGCGCGAGGTGTTGTCGTTCTCAGGGCCGCAGCCCATTGGCAGCGCTTTGTCATGTCGTTTTGCTGTCAACAACCGGAGCAGTGAATCAGCATCGAGGTCAGCTTCAGCCCTGATCCATGACACATCAGGGCAACCCTCACCCCCAGCCTGCATGATGAATAGGGTTTGAGCAAAGAACCAAAAGCTCAACAATCCAACTCTGAAGGGTTTGCAGGTTCTAGGCTTAGTCACAGGCTGCCCGGACTTGGGACCGGGTTTGCAATTTGGTTGCAGCGGTGTCTGTATGGTATCGGTCTGGCAGGGTGAGATCAGGGTCAAGTGGATTAAGGAAGTTATCACAATTAGGGTCAATACTAAAATCCACTGTTGGCAAGTGGTGCTAAAATGAGAGGGCCTACCTGGATTATGGGTAAGGGTGTCACTTAGCGCCACTGCAGTTGTCCTGGTCTGGGTCACCTCAGGAGAGAGCAGTGCAATCTGGAATGGAGCAACTGAGAGGTATGGGTTGGAAAGCTGGGTGGACGCATCCACTTGCGCAAATGCGCAACACGCTGTATACGCCAGGGCAGCAAAATGTCCCCACCTCTGCAAAGCTGCAATATCAAGGCACGCAATCGGGTGCTTCAATGTCCAGTGATTTGTCAATGTAGGTAAAATTGGAAAATTCAGTGTTCCAGTGTGCACTTGGCTCGAAAATGCGGCCCCACTGCAGAAAGCCAAATCAGAAGTCAGTGTTGAATTTTGCAAGTCAAGGCGATCGCCAAGTGAGAGCTGGTCGTGATTCTCCAGATGAATCGATCTGCTCTGTGCTGTACTTCGAAATGAAAGCAACGTCCAAAAAATGCCAATTGTTGTAAAATCCAAACTGCTGGCCCCACTGCAGAAAGCCAAAATCAGAAACAGTGTAAGAATTCGAAATGAGAAAGTCGTCGTGTCCGCAAGTCAATGGCAATACCGCAACGAAAGAACCGCGCCCGAGGAAAACACGCCCTGGGCAAACCGTACCAGACACCCTGTCACTTGAGGGCAGTACTCGCGACTGCAAAGGGGCTTGTGTGTGTGTGTGCCTGTGAGAGTGTGTGTGTGTGCCAAGCGCGCCATGTGTGTGTTAAGTTTATTGTCTGTTAAGTTTGTGTGTGTTAAGTTTGTGTGTGTGAAATTATTGTATGTTAAGTTTGTGTGCACAAGTAAGTTTGTGTGTGTGTGAAGTTATTGTCTGTTAAGTTTGTGCGTGTTAAGTTTATTGTCTGTTAAGTTTGTGTGTGTTAAGTTTGTGTGTGTGAAATTATTGTATGTTAAGTTTGTGTGTGTGAAGTTTGTGTGTGTTAAGTTTGTGTGTGTGTGAAGTTATTGTCTGTGAAGTTTGTGTGTGTTAAGTTTCTGTGTGTTAAGTTTGTCTGTGTGAAGTTATTGTCTGTTAACTTTGTGTGTGTTAAGTTTGCGTATGTTAAGTTTGTGTGTGTGAAATTATTGTATGTTAAGTTTGTGTGTGTGAAGTTATTGTCTGTTAAGTTTGTGTGTGTGTGTTAAGTTTGTGTGTGTGAAATTATTGTATGTTAAGTTTGTGTGTGTGAAGTTTGTGTGTGTTAAGTTTGTGTGTGTGAAGTTATTGTCTGTTAAGTTTGTGTGTGTTAAGTTTGTGTGTGAAATTATTGTATGTTAAGTTTGTGTGTTTGTGTGTGTTTTGTTACGGAGGCGGCGGGAGGAGGAGGAGGAGAAGCCCGGGATACAGAATCAAAAACAAGAACCCCACACAAAGATGTGGGGAATAAAAAAGGATCAGAAAGAAGGGCTGGAAAGGTTCAACTGGTTGTGAAGCAGAGGCATCTTCGATTTTTAGGGAACGCTACATGCGAAGTGAACTGCTGCAAAGGCACTCGATGAGCTCGATACTGCCGCCGCTCACCGACAGGAAGGGTGCGATTGTAGAGATGACTTCCTCTATGCCTTCCTTGCACTTGGATGCATTCGATGCACTAGGTCGCAACAAGCCACAGCAAAAAGCAACGAAGCAGGGCATTTGTACGAAGTTACCCAACTTGGACCAACGATGGTGGTTCAAACGTATTCCGAAGGCTTTCCCAAGCATTGCTCAAATCCTTTCTTGTTTTCTCCGGGTTCGACCCTTTTCAAGGGGGTAAGACACCCTGCCCCGCCTCAGTGGGAACTTTGAATCCCGGCATCACTGCCTCTACCTCATAGATCTCAGGAAAGCGATCAAGCATGGTCCTCGGGGCTTTGCTCTGCCCGATTATCTACATG